GCCACGTGGCCGGCCCATCTGAGTCTTTTTCTCTCGATCATTTCCACTGGATCTCTGAGTCCCGAGAGCTAGCGCATATCCGTACTTCTTAGGTCTTCTTCTTCTCTTCTTAGAGCTGCGTCTTCCTATTGTGGAAGCAGCCGAAGCAAGACAAAGTTCAAAGTTACTACAATCTAATTTGGGATTGAAACTTTTCTGAATGAAATCTTCGAAATCTTTTGTTTGTTATTTTTGAGGAAGTGAAAAATGGATAAAGTTTTATAAAAAGTACATGTAGTCACAATTTTTCCCAGTTTTTTTTCCTCTCACCCCCTCAAAAATGAGCGATTACGAATTTCCGGGGAATAGTTTTCGGAATTTGGGATTTGGGCAGACTTCTCTGTTCATTGAATGGCTTGATCTTCAGAAAAATGTGTTAAACTTGTGTTAAGCTTTGGATGATCTTCTAAGAAATCGTTGAATCTTGTAATTTTTCATCATTCATGACTAAATTTTTGACAAACAAACACACAAAGAAACAGTTTCTTTGTGTGAAACAATTTCTTTGCGTTTAACACATGTTCTTGAAGTTTTTAAAGCTTTAAACGCAACATTTCTCGCTCGTTTCTTTGCTAAACTATTAGAATTGTGCAATAACTATTCGAATTTAAAGTTTAGAACTATTAAAGTTGTAGTCTTTTTATTTCCAAAGGCAATCAATTTGAAAAGAGTCCTTAAAACTTGTCTTGCTTTTGTCTTGCTGTCCTTAAAACATCAAGTCTTGCTTAAAATCAAAATCCATTTGGTTTTGATCGATCAATTCTGTTTTAACAGCACTTCTTCTTACTTCTTAAAGTCTTTTTTCTTCTTAAAGCCTTCTTAAAGCCTTCTTAAAGCCTTCTTAAAGCCAGACCTTCTTAAAGCCTTCTTTCACTTCTTAAAGCAAAACAAAATTCTGATTTAGTTTTTGACAATTATTGTTGAGTTTTATGAATTTGTTTTATCCATCTAAAATTTCTTATTTACAGATCCACTGTTGTCGTCACCTTCGTCCGAGCTGCCTCCCTCCTCGTCCCTCCCTTCGCCTCTGGTTTGTTTATTCTTTAACACTTGGATATATACTTGGATATATACTTGGATTTTTCTTCAACACACTTTAATTAAGCTAGCATTAAGGCTTTACTAATAGCTTTACTAATAGCTTTCAGTAGTTAAAAGTATTCAATGACTATTATAAACTAAAACTAAAAGGCACTTAACTCTTGTTTCATTTGCTTTTCTCGCGGTTGGTGTGGTAAAAAGCAAAAAAATAGTCAATTGTGTCAGAAATGCCTTGATTGACCGAAGGTCCACTCAGTTGTTGAATCCACTCTTTAAACCACTCAGTTGTTGTGCATCTCTTAGCTCACCTCTTTCATCATATCACTGTTTCAAAGTCGCCGTCTTGCAACCGGATGCTTTAAGCTCGGATCAACCAGATATGAAAACCGACGATAGCCCCGTATAGCTCAATGATCCTACCAGGCTGCTAGCTCGGGTTAAAGACTAAGCCATGCATATCTTAGTTCAGCTATCTGGTTGATCCTATCAGAAAGGGGTGTGTTTCGATTTCTGAGCATAAAGTACACCCGACTTTTGTCTTTTGCGTTAATATGATAAAATGATAAAACCATTTTTTTCATGATAAAACCATTTTTTTCATAATAAAACCATTTTCTTTCTTTTTGACTGCCGTTTTGGACGACAGTTATCAACTGTAGACCTGAAAATTTGTAACCAAAGGCATTCTGGGATAGAGAATCCGCTCTGAATCTGAATCCGCTCTGAATCTGAATCCGCTCTTAGTTTTTGCGCAACTTTAATTTCCGAGTCAATATGGTCATCACAAAACTCTCGTTTAATTACCCAAGTCTTTAAATTGGATAGAAAAAGGCGAAACCGAATTTGGCTTTTGTCTTTTATCCATAGAAAGCATGTGTCAGAAGCCGCCCGATTACGTAAACATAAAAATTTTCACGTTTTTGTAATCGTGTACTTTCTGGCACGGTATTAGATTTAGGATTGCACTTGGGTAATTAAACTGGATGAAATATTCAAATATAGAGTAGTTTTCTTTAAAAACTAATAACGAATTCAAATTCCTCATCCTCCAAAACCCCTGATTGCAAAATTTCAGCTAAATCGACCTCAAAAAAATGCTAAATCCATGTATGGTCAATCGGTTTTGGCCATCTATGGCCTAAGCCTAAGCCTGAGCCTAAGCCTGAGCCTAAGCCTAAGCCTAAGCCTGAGCTTAAGCCTAAGCCTGAGCCTGAGCCTAAGCCTAAGCCTAAGCCTGAGCCTAAGCCTGAGCCTAAGCCTAAGCCTAAGCCTAAGCCTGAGCCTGAGCCTAAGCCTAAGCCTAAGCCTGAGCCTGAGCCTAAGCCTAAGCCTAAGCCTAAGCCTGAGCCTGAGCCTGAGCCTAAGCCTGGCCTAAGCCTAAGCCAAGCCTGAGCCTGGCCTAAGCCTAAGCCTAAGCCTAAGCCTGAGCCTGAGCCTAAGCCTAAGCCTAAGCCTAAGCCTAAAAGCAGCGCCCGGTTTCCAACTAAAAAAGCTATGCCAGATTGCGTGGGTTTACAAGAGAATGAAAAGCTTGAATGCTAAAAGGAAAGAGCTACTAGTTGTTAATTGCTAATACTCTTGTTTCACGCAAAAGTTCAAGTTTCATTCACTCAAAAGATTAGATTTGTGGTCAAAAAAAAAGGACTCGATTCCACGTAAAACGATGAGTAAAACCACGTCAATTTCAAATCAAATCGAGTCATTCGAAGCCAAAAAAACAGTACGCCCCACGTAGCAAAAGATTATTTAGTTAAAAATGCAAAAAAATAAGACTTCACTTCACTTCCAAATTTGTGAGAAATTCAGAAATTCCTTGTTTTTTTTAAGCCATTCACCGTGTTTTCAGCCATTTTTAAGCCACTCAATACAACCAGATTTTGAGCGGATTACGTCAAATTTTTTGATAATAATAAGTGGGAGGAGAAAAAGAAAGAAGAAAACTTTCGGAAATCCTTGAACAAAAATACAACTCAGCCTAGATGTGTTTCGATTTTGAATCTTATCTTTCTTGCTGAGATCCAAGATGAATCCAAGAAGATCCAAGATGAATCCAAGAAGATCCAAGATGAATTTTCAAGGATTTCTCGATTTTTGCGCACTTCTGATCCTTTGAAATGAGTTTTTACCGTTCGCAATGCGGTTTTGCTGCTTTTTGACTGCTTTAATGATTGTTTAGCTCTCTCTGAAACTCAGCCTAGATGTGTTTCGATCTTGGATCTTATCTTTCTTGCTGAGATCCAAGATCAATCCAAGAAGATGTTGAGCTTAAAGTTTAGCTTAAAGTATTAGATTCCTGAAGAGAAAACAGTAAATAATATCTGCAATTTCCTTGTTCAAGCTTTTAATTTGCTCTTTTGCTTACGACAATAAGCTTATTGGGTTTCTAGGTTTTTGAAGTCTCTTAAATATCTGAAAAATATACAGCTTTTAAAGTTCAATTTATTGTTGTTAGTGAGATTTTTTTTCTTCCCAACCCATTGATCAGCCCAAAAATATGTACAAAACAATTAAGTTAACAAATTTTCAAAGTGGAAATAGTTTTCCCATAGCTTTTTAGGTAAAAATAGCTTTTCCATAGGCAAAAAGGAAATATTTCCATATTTTCTCAATAAAACTGTTTTCTAAAGCATGAATAATTTGAATAAAATACGATGAGATCAATAAATATTATTCGTTCTCATTGTCTCGAACTATCTAGGTTTATCTAGGTCATTTGGGTCTCCTTGTCGCCTTCTTACCGGCCTTCTTGCGGCCTCCTTAACGGCTTTCTTGCGACCTCCTTACCAGCCTTCTTGCGGCCTCCTTACCGGCCTTCTTGTGGCCTCCTTAACGGCCTTCTTGCGGCCTCCTTAACGGCTTTCTTGCCGCCTTCTTACGGTCTCCTTAACGGCTTTCTTGCGGCCTTCTTAACGGCCTCCCTGGGGAGCCAACCCGGCGCAGCCGTGGCGGAGTGGTACAGTGTTCGTTTCCAGAGCGAGACCTCACAAGTTCGATCCCAGCTTTGGATTTTTGCTGACTAGTGTTCTTGGGAAAAAGAAAAAGGGGAACCAAAGTGGTGTTCGAACTTGTAAGGTCTCGCTCTGAACGCCAACGCCGTACCACTCGGCCACGACTGCACCGCAAGGAAGCCGCTAAGAAGAACGCTAAAACCCAAATGACCACATTTCTTAGTCCTAAACTTTAGGCGCTTAGATTGTCATTTAGCAAAAACAGAATATATATTTGGAATCAGCATCAAATTCTGCGTCAAATGGTATGGGTCGCATAGTTGACCAATTGAGGTAGAGCCAGTTGACCTTCTCTTGTAAGCCAAAAAATCAGTTTAAACCATTTTTGATCTAGGGAATTGCTAAATTCGAATGTAATTTATATTCGAATGTACATTTTACGATAATAAAGAGGCATTGAATCACCGCTAACTTTGCGCAAATCTACTGACTTTTTTTTTGCTCATTTTCTCTTTAAACCTTCAACTTCCTAAATTCTACTCCCAAATGTGATTTCATTCAAAATAAGCGCAACTTTTTTCGATTCAACCACTTTTTCACCCACAGTTTCATCGTTTTTTTTAAAAGGAAATCAGTCATTTTGAACTCGATTGAAAAAAATAAAAAATTTGGGAGCGATTGAGGAAAAAAAATGGATGGATCTTCGAAAATTTTGTTTGAATCGTTCGAAAATCGCTAGAAATATTTCTGCAAATTGAAAAAGGCGAATATTTTTAGCAATACGGTACTGATTTCTGCTCAATTTGCCTAATTTGAGGTGCTCGAAATTAATGAAATTTTTGGAAAAGGGAAATTTTCAACAAACAAGCCTGTTCGAATGAACTTTTTGTAGAGTTATTTGGCAGAAAAAAAACCTTTTGTTTACCTTGAAAATAGAAATTTTTGATTAGGAACTTTCTATCTTTTAATAGAATGCAAATTTTCTTTTTCCAGGTGAGGGAGGTGGTTGTTTCGGCCGCCACGCTACTCTACCCGCCTCTAACTCGGGTCACTGAGGTAAATTTGTTGATTAAATTATGATAATCAGTATAATGTTGTCGAAAAATCATCTTTAATCAATAAGTAATAGATTATAGTCTTTAAATATAGATATTTCTTTACAATTTTAGTATTTTTAGTCGATGCACAGCTTGGGCACCATCGGTCTCAGAACGGATCAACCAGGCACCTCGCATAGCTCTCCTGGTGGGTTTTTGAATTTGAAATCAAATCTAATTTAACTAGTAATAAGTTTCGACGTCCACAAAGCATTGGATCCTTTCTCAAATCGTGCCAATAGTACTTGTTGCCGTCTGGACCATTCAAATTAAATTTTTTCTAGTCGTAAGAGTAATAAGTAACTAATTAATAAGAAATAAGAGTAGTAATAAAGCTTTCTAAAAGCATTTGCGCTTGTGATTCCCGATTCGTGGAAATCGATGGTCTGACGCCTCAGGAAAACTTTAGTGGATTGGCTGACATGAATTGAAGCATTATCCTGTTGAAAAATATAGTGTTTCCCTCGATTTTATGCTCGGAAAGGTAGTAGTTAATCCGCAAGGACGTCTTGGTAATCGTTCGAGTTCATGCGACAAGTCACAAATTCTAAATCAAGAACGTCATCCACATTGAATATCATCAGTGATCCTCCTCCGAAGTTTCGACGTCCACAAAGCATTGGATCCTTTCTCAAATCGTGCCAATAGTACTTGTTGCCGTCTGGATCATTCAAATTAAATTTTTTCTAGTCGCTGAAGATGACCTACATAGAAAAAGATTAGTTAACAACTCAAGGTAAAAAGTATACTTTTCTCCAATCGATGGTGATGTGTTTCCTAGCTCAAGGCCTCCTTTGTTTCTTGTGTGCCGGCTTCAGTTTTGGTGCTTTCTTCATCATTGCTCTTTTGATGTAACGGATGTAACACTTGATGGCTCGAGAAAGAGTGCTCAAACCCAAAGCCTCTTTTGTTTCTTGTGCGCCGACTTCAGTTTTAGTGCTTTCTTCATGACTGCTCTTTTGATGTAAGACATAAACTTGATGGCTCGAGAAAGATTGCATTTGTGGACGGGAGCTCTAATTGCCTTGACGTCCTGTAGCGTCCTGTAGCGACATCACCGAATTCGACAACAGACGTCCAATATTCCGTTCAGCGCGGACCATGAGCTTCCGATGACGTCCTTGCTTGCGACTTCTTCTTGATTTCTTCTTGCCATAATTGAAAGGACCCTTCAAGATATTTGTGACAACTTGGTGCAAGCGCTTCATTTTCTTTGCGATCTTCCGATTCGACAACTTTCTTCTTTTTAAAATAGCTATTTTCAAAATAGCCTTTCATCTGTTTGATTCGCGAAAGCGATTATTCCCATCGTCAATCTCGGCAATTGAATTCTTCTCTTCTCTAACCACAAAGCTGACATTTCTGGGTTTGAATTTTTTACTCAAGTAACCCGCTTCATATTTCTTCCAACATTTGTCACAAAAAGTACATGATGAAGAAAATCGTGGAGTTGTTTTATCATTCTATTAGCTTTCAATAAGTTTTCTCATTCCTTTTCCTATTTCCGTTGAAAAATAACAAATTCGCAAATTAACCTATCGTTTTCTCTAAAAAAACGTGTTTTTTTTGTTCAATTTCCATCTTTTTAAGTCAATTTCGGTTCACTTTCAACCAAATTCAAGAGTGAAAACATTCTTTTTCGTGTTTTTCGTTTTTCGTTTTTTTTTTGCAAACCTTCTTGACGCCAAAAAACATTCTGGTTGATTTTTCTGGTTGATTTGTTTAAAAACTTACGTGCAATATTCATTAATAGATATTTTAATGTAGTTTTATAGGTTTTTAATTTCCCGAAACTTTATGAGTCACCAGATATTATATTAGGCCGTCCAGAAAAGCTTTTTGTTCCTTTTCGTATCCGTTTAAAACCAACAAATGCATCAATTGAACTACGGTTTATTTTATTAGAAATGCCAATTACATTTCTGCAAAATAACATTAAAACTGGTTTCAAATGTCTTAGTCTGGATTTTTTTTCAGGAGCCTAAAGTCGGGTAGTCAAAAAGGCTCGATGATGCGGCTTGATGATCCGGTTTAGCCACTTTAGCTAATGGAAACCTATCTCGGTGTCAATAGATAAAAGATAGAGCACAAAATGTTTCGTGTATAGTCAAAATTTTCATTGAAATTGATTCAGTCAATTTCTTCGTAGAGGTTTTTATAGATTTTTACGAAAAACACGTCTCGTTCACCCTCGAAAAACACGTTCACTCTTGAATTTGCTTGAAAGTTTGACCAAAGATTGACTTAAAAAGATGAAAATCGAACAATAAAAAGTTTCTATTTAAAATAAACCATAGATTAATTGATGAATTAATTGATGAATTTGTTATTTTACAACGAAAGAAAAAGAAAAGATTTTCTGGACGGCTTAATCTGATCATCAGCATCAGCAAACAATGATGCAGTTTGCTGAAGAGTTTGCTAAAGATTTGATAATTTTAACTGAGTAAAGAAAAGATAAAGGCAAATAAAGGCAAAATCATTCTTTTCTAAACATCATCTTAATTTCAGAAGTCGAAATCGTTGACTCGGGCTCGTTTCAATTGGCTGATTGGAAGGGAGTTCGTGTTTGTGCGAGAATGCCCGATCGATCGTTTTATCCAGGAATTTTGAGTGCAGTGATCAACGCGAGACATGTTCTTATTCAGGTTTGACTGAATTTAGTTCTAATAAGAAGAATAAAATTAATCTATTGGGTTGGTGAATTGAATGGTGAGGCTTAGGTAATATAGTGAGTCAAGGCAGAACTGATTGATTTAGTTTGAAGAAAATCGCGTATAGAACACTCTTTTGAACCTAAAGATCAAGTAAAGTGAGATTTTTTTTTCTAAGAGTCGCTTCTAAGCTTTTAAAGCTGAAGCTCTTAAAGTCAACAGTCTGAATTCAAATTTATTAGGTTGGTGAGTTGAAAACTGCGGGACTTTGAACTAAAATTTATTCAATATAAAACCATCAATTCATTCCAAATAATTTCCATTATTATTGACGACCTCTGCCCATTTTACAGGCAATTTGCGGATTCCTCTTTCGTAGTAGGGTTTTGGTTTGTGTGTGAGACAAGTGTGAGACTCAAAAATCGAGGACTGGAGATGTCAGCTGTCAGCCCAGTTTGAGCACTTTCTTCAAAAGAAACCCATTTTGGTGTCAATAGAAAAGTTGTAGAGAATCAAAAATTAGGCTTATAGCCAAATTTCCAAAAAGATACACTTAGTAGTTTCGCTTAAAATGCAAGTTTTGTTGCAAGCTTTGTGAAAATTCGTAAATTCGGCATTTCTAGGAAACCAGTTTTTGAATCGTTCTGAAAATTTGAATATAAGCTTAATTTTTGATTCTCTACAACTTTTCCATTGACACCAAATTGGTTTCTTTCGAAGAAAGTGCTCAAACTATCACATATGACTATAGCCGGCAGTTTTCAATTCACCAACCCAATAATTTATATATTTATAGCTTTCAAAATCATCTGATTTGATTCTAATCATTTTTGATTTGATTCTAATCATCTTTTTCCAGTTGGAAGACGGTCGTGAAGTTTCCTTTGAAGATGTGCTGTCGGAAAACGACGGAGCGGTTATTGCTGATCACGCGCCATCACATCAACAGGTTACTTTAAAAGAAATTCACATTAATACAGAAAGTTTAACAGTAATCATTTTTACTGTCATTGTCAAAAAAAACATTATTATTGTCTCAGCTTGTCTCCCAAACGGTGGTCTGTGTCCGGCTATCAGTGGAGGATCGAAACTGGCGGCCGGCTGAACTCCTACAAACTACAAAGAGGCCCTACGCTTACAAAGTAGCGTCTGAATTTTGAGAATTATTTTATTTTAAACTTTACAGGTTCGAACAGCTGAAGGAGTGACATCTTGGCTTCCGAGAGCTCACATTCGAATTTTGAGAGCACCTTGGCATGAGGAGTTGCACGCAGAGCCGAGAACAGAACAACCACTGCTTAGGTAGAGAATTAAGACCAAAATGTACAAAGTAATACTGTAAACGTACAAAGTAATACTCGTTTTAATGCAAGATCTTTAATTTAGCAGCCCCAAAATCCCATCCACAACCTCAACCCAATCAGCCACTCCGTCTTTCCCGATTGCCACGGATAATCTGGCGATTCTGAACGCGATTCGCCTTCAACACATGCTGAGCATGCAGGGCGTGATTCATAGGTATCCATAAAAGAATATCCATAAAAGCCACCAGGGAAATGTGACAATCATGTAGAAAAGAATGAAGATCACCTCGAGGAGAATGAACACTACATTCTGTGGCTTGGCTACATTCTGAAATTACTAACAACAAACCATTACTTGGAAATAAACAAATGAGTCTTTTCTTTATCTAATCCCGATTCCCGTATGCTAGAAAGTATGCTAATAAGTCAGAAATGGACAAAAATGCGTGATTCATAGGTGAATAATAGCACTATTTTAGCTAAATCAGACATACAGTCATGCACAAAAGTATTGACCACTCGCTTTTGTGCAATTTGCAACCCCAATAGTCCTTTCTCAATACTTGAACTGCTCGGCAACTGCCATCTTGACTGAAACATCTTTCAAACAAAGTGAACATCTTTCACTGAAACACCTCTTTCCCTGGCTTCAACGATTTTCTTCTTTTCTTCTTCTTCTTCTTCTTATCTTTTATTCTTTATTCTTTTTTCTTCTTATCTTATCGATTTTCTTCTTATCCTTTCTTCTTTCTTCTTTCTTCTTTCTACTTTCTTCTTTCTTCTTTCTTCTTCTTTCTCCTTTCTTTTTATCAATTCTCTTCTTTCTTCTTGCAAATATCCAGTTGAAGGCATTTTAAAATCAAAAAACTTTAGAGAGAAATTAAGAAAAACACTTGATAAATGCAAGATTTTAAAAAGGGCTAATACTTTTGTACTTTTCTTTTAGAGTAACCTTTAGCAAATGCTGTACGGAAGTTTTTTGAGCGCTTTTTTTATGGCGATGCAAACTAGGGGAAAAGCTTTAACTAAAATTTTTTGATCGAACTCATTTAGAAAGTCATAGAAAAAAGGTATAGAGGAAAAAAAGATGATCACCGGGAGCCTATACTTTTGTGTATGACTGTAAAATTGGATTTCACTAATAAATTTTCAGCATCAACTCCGAGCCAGGCTCGGTAAGCAAAAAGCCGATGCTTGACGGTGACGAGAACGATAAGGAGATGATTACGGTAAGCGAGAAGTACTTTAGCAGCTAACAAGTGATTGTAATCATGAATTTTAAAAGAACCATTATGTTTATGAGTTTCAGTTATGTTTATGAGTTTATTCAGGTGCATGACTCTCACCCGGGTCCATCAAATCCCCTCCCTCAACCAGCTCCACTCCAAGGAGTGACCGTGTCCGAGAATTTCCCCCGTCTTCCCCTTTCCCTCCATCCACCAACATCCGTTTCGGCTCGTTTCGGTCCACAGGGAGATTCATCCGATGATCTCGATGGTCCAAGTGCTTTCACAGCGACTGGAATAAATGTAAGTAACAAACGCAAATCAAATCATATAGAAAACTTTAATAACAAACGGGTTTGCCTCTAATTAAGATAGATAAGATGATAAGATGATAAGAGTGCTTCTAGAGTTAAAGTGATATGGCTAAAGTTGTTTCCAGGTACCGTATTTTTGTCTAACTTGACTGAGTTGCTTGAGATTTTGAAAGCTAGGTCAACTTATAAAGCACTTTTTATTTTAGAAAGCTTTCTGTGTCATGATTTCATTTCATCTCTTAATTTCAGCAGCGCTATAAAAAAGGCGAGATCGTGACGACTCCGGGCGGGATCCGGAAGAAATTCAACGGTAAACAATGGCGTCGACTTTGTAGCAAAGAAGGATGTAATAAGGTTTGTTCAAAGTTTAAAGCAATCTATTGGGTTGGTGAATTGAAAACAGCCGGCTATTGTCATATGTGACGGTTTGAGTACTTTCTTCAAAAGAAACCCATTTTGGTGTCAATGGAAAAGTTGTAGAGAATCAAAAATTAAGCTTATATTCAAATTTTCAGAACGATTCAAAAACTGGTTTCCTAGAAATGCCGAATTTACGAATTTTCACAAAACTTGCATTTTAAGCGAAACTACTAAGTGTATCTTTTTGGAAATTTGGCTATAAGCCTAATTTTTGATTCTCTACAACTTTTCTATTGACACCAAAATGGGTTTCTTTTGAAGAAAGTGCTCAAACTGGGACATCGGACATCTCCAGTCCTCGATTTTTGAGTCTCACACTTGTCTCACACACAAACCAAAATCCTACTACGAAAGAGGAATTGCCTGTAAAATGGGCAGAAGTCGTCAATAATAATGGAAATTATTTGGAATGAATTTATGGTTTTATGTTGAATAAATTTTAGTTCAAAGTCTCGCAGTTTTCAATTCACCAACCCAATAGATAAGAATCGAGATAAGCCTAGAAACTAGAATTAAAATCTAGATAAACCCAAAATCTAGCTAAATCTAAAATCTAGATTTCAACATTTCAAGATTTCCCTTTAAACCAATCCCTAATCTATTTTCAATTTTTTCCTTGGGTTTTCTATTTTTAGTCTCACAAGAAACAGGATCGCTTGATTGGGGTCATTACTTAAAATTTGAAGAGGAGAAAAAAATCGAGTGGATTTTGTGCTAGAATGAGGATTGGGTTTTTTTGGGGAAAAGAAAATCGACGATCGGATTTCATCTCGATTTCATCTCTCGATTTCACTCGAGATCCCTTTCTGACCCATCTGGAAAAGAGGGAGAATATTTCTGGACAACTTGCACGGGCATTCATTGAAATGCAGAATGGAACTGGGGTTTCATTATGGCTTGTCTAGAAATAATAAATTTGAATGATTGAGTCTAAAACATTGTGAAATCAATGCTAGAATTGGCTGTGGATTTATAAGCTCAAAAATCAAGTGTAGAAGAAGAGCTCAAAAAGAAGAAATACAAGAAAGACTTGTTCCACTATTGGGTTGTTGATTTTCAAACTCATTCATTGCCTAATAGATAAATAGAGCAGTCCAGGTCAGTCCAGACTGAGTTTATTGGATTTGGCTATATATTTATTAGGTCATGAATACGTTTTTATAAATAAGTCTCAGCCAATTCCTTTGCTTATAGCGAGTACGTAATTGTACGAATTCTAGCGTCAACTTTTTGGAAAAGCAGCTGGGAAATGTCTAATTTATTTCAAAAGTGGCAAGTGTTATATAGCGATTTGAAGCCTGGAATCTTGGCTACATTTGCATACAAAAAGCTTTCGAATTGGATGTATACAGCTCATTTCACAAGCGCTAGTCGGCATCTCTTTGATGAATCTCTAGCGCTCATTCAAGCGCTTGTTAAATGAGTTAAATAAATCTAATCGGGAAGTTTTAAATAGTTAAATAAAGGCAAGATTAAGGGCTACAATTCTTTATACAACACTTGACACTTTTGAAATAAATTAGACATTTCTCAGCCACTTTTCCAAAAAATTGTCGCTATACTTTGTCGCCCTGTTGCTAAATGTTGAAGTGAGTATATAAGGGAAGTTTCAAAAGCTAAAAACGAAGGCAAGCTCAAAAATGAAGCCTAACTAAAGCTCAAAAATGAAGCCAATCTCCACCTCAACCTTAAATCCCAATTTCCAGGAATCCCAGCGTCGTGGCTACTGCTCCCGTCATCTCTCGCTCAAGAGTAAACCCGGTGGTGTTGTCGGTGGATTGGGTGGCCCCTCTCTGCCCCCAGGTCCTCCATTGGGTGTGCAGGCCGGTCTTGTCGGTCTTTCTTCTCCTCTTCTCTCATCTTCTTCTGTCAGCTCTGGTGGTCCACCCGTTACGACCCCAAGCGGCCTCCAACATTTACTGCAATACGCGCTGAAGACTCTCGCCTCTTAGCTCAATTTGCCAAATATTTTTCTGGATTACTTGAAGTGATCTTGGGATTAAAGAGAAGTTGAAGTGATATCTAGAGTGATCTACAATATATGTTACGTCCGTTCCAGACTGATTCTAGATCCGACGTCGAATTTAGAGTGAAGTGAGGTCTAGAAGCAAGCCGATCACTCTAAATCTAGGTCTGGATCGGACGCCGGTTTTAGAGTGATCGGCTCGATTCTAGATCGGACGTTTGACCTCATTTCACTCTAAATCAGCCGCTACATATATGAAAGAGCATTTGGAATAATGAAAATCACAAAATAAGAATTGCGGGGCAAGACGGGGGGTCGAACCCAGATCGTGTGGGTTGGAGACCAACGCTCTCTCGACTGCGCTACGGCGCCAACAACCAAGACGGGGCTAGAAAACCCCGCTGTAAAGCGTTTTTTCTAGCCCCCGGGTTGTTGAGTTGTGTTTTCGGCTAGTAACCAAATGGCTGTTTATTTTGAGCTCGGACTTCGTAAACACATCCTTTCTGGTGCACTTAATTCTTCCTTGTTTGCTAACTAAAATGAGTCAGTGCACCAGAAGAGGTGTTTACAAACTGAGCACAAACTACAGCTAAAAACAACCGTCTTCCGTAAATCGTTACGGTAGTCCGTAAATAGTTACCATAGTCCGCAAATCGCTATCGTAGTCCGGAAATCATTACCGTAGTCCGGAAATCGTTACCCTAGTCCACAAATCGTTACCGTAGTCCGGAGATCGTTACCATAATCCATAAATAGCTACCGTAGTCCGGAAATCGTTACCATAGTCCGCAAATCGTTACCGTAGTCCACAAATCGTTAACGTAGTCCATAAATAGTTACCATATTCCGGAAATCGTTACCATAGTCCATAAATCGCTACCGTAGTCCGCCAATCGTTACCGTAGTCCACAAATAGTTACCGTATTCCGGAAATCGTTACTATAGTCCATAAATCGCTACCGTAGTCCGCAAATCGTTACCGTAGTCCACAAATCGTTAACGTAATCCACAAATCGTTGCCGTAATCCCAAGATCACTTGTAGACTGAATGTTTCCCGTTAAATCCCCATAGAAAAGTCTTCTCCTTCTCCAGGTTGTCCATATGGTCCCTTCAAGAAATTTACACATATAAAATGCTTGGGCTCACCGTATTTTAGTACAAATATTTCAAATTTTCCGATAATCTTCTTAGTTCTTTTCTCTTTTCTTATTTCTTTTTTTATTTTCTTTTATTTTCGACTCTAGGAATGATACCGGTGTTCCCGTTGAAATGGCTACAAAATAATAATACAAAACTCCCACAAATGCATAGTGCTTGCCCGTTTTGTGTTTTTCTATACTTTGATTTTTGTAACGAAGTGGAAGAATGGGGGAATTTTCGAAACATTACCAATCTGGCACACTGATTTTTGGAGCTGGGAAGCTGTGCCAGTTGATGTGCCAGTTATGCTATGCCAGTTGATGTGCGTTCACAAAGTTTGCGTTTCTTGTAAACACAAGCGATCTGACGCAGCGATTCTGTGAAAAGTGGCACTTCAATCCTGTCAAAAAGCTTTGCCAAATTGCAATGGTTTGCACAAAATTTCCCCTATTTTGTAAACGCTAGCGATCTAGCACGGTGAAAAGCTCGGCCAGGTGACGAGCGTTTACAAAATTCCCTCAAATTCCCTCAAATTTCCTTCAAATTTATGCAATTTCTCTGATATTTGCCTACATCTGCTGTGCTTCAAGCTTGCTCGATTCTGATTTTGAGAAATCTACTGAATGTTTTACTAATCTACTGAATGTTTTCGTGTTTTTCTTTTATCTTTACGATTCTCTCTCGATCCCGGTTTAGCGCTTTGTCTCCCCGGTGGCTCGTCGATTCGATTTTATAACATTTTAGTCACAAAATTCGGCTCTTCTCTGTGAGGTTTTTTGAGAAATAGAACGTTTGCTTATAATTAGAGAGATTATTCAATAATATTGTGAGCTTTTTGTAGAGTTTTAAAGGGCTACTTTTGCGCAACTGGGCCTTTTGCGCAACTGGGTCTTTTGCGCAACTGGGTCTTTTGAGCAACTGGAACCTTTGCGCAACTGAGTCCTTTGCGCAACTGGGTCTTTTGAGGAACTGGGTCCTTTGCGCAACTGAGTCCTTTGCGCAACTGGGTCTTTTGAGCAACTGGGTCTTTTGCGCAACTGGGTCTTTTGCGCAACTCGCCATAACTTTCTTCTAAATCGGCCAATCTTTATGATTTTGGTGTCATTTTGTAGAACTTATTGGGATCAACAAAATGAAACCAAAATCATAAAGATTGGCCTACTTACAAGGGAACGTTCAGAACCAGAAAAATTTGGAATCCTCGTAATCGATTTACCCAGGCGCCAAAGTCTCGCGTCGAAATGTCACGGTCGGTTCTGAACGTTCCCTTGTAAGTAGGCAAATCTTTATGATTTTGGTTCCATTTTGTTGTCCCTTGATAAGTTCAACTAAATAACATCAAAACCATAAAGATTGGCCCACTTAGAAGAAAGTTATGGCGAGTTGCGCAAAAGACCCAGTTGCGCAAATTAAATGGCGGAAATTAGCCTATCCCAAAAAGCCTTAAGACTATAAGGGGCTTCTCTTTTGCCATGCCAAAAAGGGTATGAAACTAAACTGGGAGAACAGTGAACGGAGTGGCTAGTGGAGCCAAATTCCTTGCTCAACATGGCCCCCCCATAACCCTCCCCCAAGCGAGCCAATCCCCATAATCTTGGTGTCATTCCGTTGCACTTGTTCAGATCTACAAAATAACACCAGAACCATAAAGATTGGCCCACTTAGAAGAAAGTTATGGCAAGTTACGCAAAGCGACGAAGTTACGCAAATGACCCTGTTGCGCCAAAAAAATTACAGAAATTAGCCTATCCCTTTTAAAGAGAAGAATTTCAGCTTTCGAATGAGACAAAGCTTGATTGGATTATTCTGTTTCATTTTGATGAAAAACAATCAAAATCAAGTGATCAAAGTGAGCCGCTCTCGGCCAAGTTCACTTCGATTTTCTCGGGATCGTTTCATTCGATCAGCTTTCATTTTTATATCATTCGTAAGCTTGAAATGTACAAAAAGTTAACAAGAATAATAAATAAATTTTAAACGAAAGCGATTTGAGAAACGAGAAACGAGAAACGACACCCAGAAATGTCTTAAATTCTCCAAAAGTCCAAGAGAATTCAAATAGTTTCGGAAAACGGAGAAGAGCCCAAAATTCTTAGCTTTGTAGCTATAAACCAATTGTGTAACTCCTTTAATGTGCAAGAAATTTATCTTTTATCTCTTTTTAATTTGGATTGAAATTTTGAAGTTTTGAAATTTTGAAATTTTGAAATTTTGCTGCGAATAAATTTTTTTGCTGCCTTGACTTTTTTTTTATTTTTAAAGGCTATAATTGAATAAAGAAAGCTTGAAAATAAAACAGATTTGAATTTAATTAAAATTTACACATTTAAGCGATTTAAAATCACATTTAAAGCACGATAAGCACATTTAAAATTTACAGAATAATCTACAGCGTTTTGCTTCCCACCTAGTCAAGGCAGTGATAACTTTGCTCTCTAGGTGTCGGGAGGCACTTTTATGTAGTGGTAACGCTACAGCTTATGCCCTATCAGATGGCATTGCTCGTGAATCCTTGCTTGGGTGAATCCTAGCGAGTTCCCAAAGCTCGGATCACTTCGGTTCGGTTTCTCGAGGGCGCAAGATCACTCGCATACGACTTGATCGCTGGTCAAGGTGTTATACTCAGTAGAGCAGTATAGCTGCGATCTGTTGAGACTCTGCCTAGGATTAGTTGGTTTGTTTAGTCGTTAGCTGTTTCAACGTTGAACACACTTGTCAAACTGTTTTTAATATCAGAATTCTTCAAACTTTAACTTTAATTCTTAATACTTTATCGAGTACTCTTCAGCCTTTCAAACAATAGCAAATAAAAATTGTTTAAACCAACCATAGAAATCTGACAGAAATCAGAAATCAGAAAGCTTAACGGATAGTGAGAAACGCCGCGATCTGACTCGAGCCTTTTGCCACCTGATTTTCCAAACCCGGAGATAATAAACAAGAGTCAAACAATTTTATGCTACTTCTGCAAGTAGTAAATACATTTATTTACTCAAATAATGTGATACAAACAATACACAAACTAGGCAATCGAATGTGCAAAGATCGAATCGAATGTAGTGGATGGGATTTTGGGGCTGCTAAATTAAAGATCCTGCATAAAAACGAGTATTACTTTGTACGTTTACAAAATTTTGGTCTTAATTCTCTACCTAAGTAGTGGTTGTTCTGTTCTCGGCTCTGCGTGCAACTCCTCATGCTAAGGTGCTCTCAAAATTCGAATGTGAGCTCTCGGAAGCCAAGATGTCACTCCTTCAGCTGTTCGAACCTGTAAAGTTTAAAGTAAAATAATTCTCAAAATTTCGACGCTACTTTGTAAGCGTAGGGCCTCTTTGTAGTTTGTAGGAGTTCAGCCGGCCGCCAGTTTCGATCCTCCGCTGATAGCCGGACACAGACTACCGTTTGAGAGACAAGCTGAGACAGTAATAATGTTTTTTTTGACAATCACAATGTTAAAAATGATTACTGTCAAACTTTCTGGATTGATGTGAATTTCTTTTAAAGTAACCTGTTGATGTGATGGCGCGTGATCAGCAATAACCGCTCCGTCGTTTTCCGACAGCACATCTTCGAAGGAAACCTCACGCCCGTCTTCCAACTGGAAAAAGATGATTAGAATCAAATTTTGAAAGCTATAAATAGATAAATTATTGGGTTGGTGAATTGAAAACTGTCGGCTATTGTTATATGTGACAGTTTGAGCACTTTCTTCAAAAGAAACTCATTTTGGTGTCAATAGAAAAGTTGTAGAGAATCAAAAATTAAGCTTATATTCAAATTTTCAGAATTCAAAAACTGGTTTCCTAGAAATGCCGAATTTACGAATTTCCACAAAACTTGCA